CACTAACATCTGCTTTGTTAGTACTTCATTTAGCTGCATCTTTAATTTGGAGTGACAGTCACCTTTCCAGGCTTTGGAGGCCATCCCTCTCCACAGCTGTCTGTGCAGAGTCTCAACAGTGTGCCTACCGCTGTCACCACACCATACTGTGCCCTGATGGCTCCCTCTCTCCTTGCTTTCGCAGCTGGCGCTACGTACATCTTTGGGAAGAGTGGAGGCCTCATCCTCTACACCTGGCCGGCCAATGACAGGCCCAGCACGCGCTCGGACCGCCTTGCCGTGGGTTTCAGCACCACTGTGAAGGATGGCATCTTGGTTCGCATTGACAGTGCTCCAGGCCTCGGTGATTTCCTCCAGCTTCACATAGTGAGTACCCGGCCTCGACCTGGATTCTCTTTCCTCCCTGGCGGTCTGAGTTGTTAACCCAGATAAATGCAGGAGAACATTCTAGGTAGACATGGCAAAGGGGCACAAGCTTGTAAGAATTGCCTACGTCTGTTGGCACCCTATCCAAGGGGTGGTCTGTGTGATAAGCCTATTCGCCCATTGAGACGCGAACCGTAGAATGCCTTGGGAATAAAAAAATTAAAAACTCTTCTTGTCCAGACACCCTCCCTGTGTGGTGTGACCCTTCGTGAGATATTTAGCACACTCCTTAGATGTCAGTGAGAGGTTTACCTGTGCGGTTCATCTTTACCTGGTACAAGAAGCGAAGCCAACGTGAGCGTTGATCTCCTAGGCTGGGCATCACACAGCTTTCCTGTAAAGGCCCAGATGGTAAATATTTTGGTCTTTGCAAGTCATACAGTCTTTGTCAGAGCTACTCAATACTGCCATTGTAGTGTGAAAGCAGCTGTAGGCAATATATATATTTAAAAAGTGTATATGACTATATTCCCATAAAAATGTGTTTATTAAAACAGGCTACAGGTTGTACTTTGGTAACCCTGTCCTAGTCTGCAAACTTCCTCACAGAGATATAAAGAGTATGTGATGAAAACTGAGGCCAGAGTGGATGGGGCAGAAAGGAAACAGCACAATGACCGAAAGTCGGTGTGTTCCTATGTGTTGTGGAGTCACATTTTGCTTGTGTGTATAAGCACCTCAGCCACTGCCGATCATTAAACACAGTGCAATTCTACGAAATTAAAATGATTTGGAGGGAAAAAATTACTTCGTTATGAGGATAGAAAATATTTTTATAGCAACAATTAAACCCATTTTATCACCTGTGCAGTCTGCAGTTAAGAAAGTAGGCTAAAGAAGGAGATGATTCTCATCCATAAGGACCCAAAGTGCAGCCTCCAAGAGCAAAGAGAGGAATTGTTCTCATTAGTTAGCAATGACAAGGCTAGAAAGAATGGATTTAATTTGGAGCAATAAGAATTCAGCTTAAATAGCAGGGGGGGAAAGCAGTTTTAGAAGAAAGATCAACTGGGGATTACCACCAACCTCCAAAAAGGAGGAAAAGCAACATTTACGGGGGATCTTTGAATCCGAGCTTTGCTAATGTGCTGGTCTGCTGAGGGAAGAAAGCAGAGGGTGGGCTTTCATCCTGGTTTCCAGAGCGGAGGTGGCTGCCTGGCTACCACCACGAGCAGCGAGCTCAGCCCTCAAGGTGGTCCCCATCTCCAGCACCTGCTCTTCCAACATGCCTTGGAAACAGGAACAGCTTAGAGTGGAAGGCTTGAGCCGGGAGCCTGTCTAGTCTCAGTGTGAGCCAGAGCAGGGCAAGTCTCTGCCTAGGAGTGCAGGGAAGGACTCGTTAGAAATGATCGCCTTCAGAATGTGGAAGAGGGGTCTCGAATAGAGTCGTGACCCTCCAGTGCTTTCTGAGATGCTTCAGGAACTATGTGGCACTATGAGCCTGAGCTTGAGCATTTTGAAAAGCCATGCCAAGGAGCACAGAGGAAGACAGCCGTAGTTAGTACAGTTTATCTTTATTTGGCCTCTAGGAACTACCGTAATTTACAAAACTCTGTGAGATTTATGCTGCATATGACTTAATGACTATTTCATGGCAACTATAACTAGGCGATTATTACCAGCTCACTTGCATTTTTGTGATGATTTATCTTCCTTTCTTGTTCACTATGACTTACTAAGAAAAACATGATTTGGTGCAGCCATGAGCATCTTTTCTGAGTCAGATAATCCGCTACCAATTTATGCATTTCTCCCATTCATGTTTCGTAGAGCATTTAAGAGAAATATTTTCTTATTTTCTGACAGTTTACCTGAAATTGGCACTGTTTTTATAAAACGAAGGTGAGGAGCCTCGGGACTTCTAGGTTGAACCATAGCATTCCGTTTTAACATTTAACAAGCAAAAATACATGAAATTTTACTTCAAAATGCATAGAACCCCCACTGTTTACTTGGATTTGTTCCAGAGATGCTGCCATTGTTTAATTATTCTAGAAAATCCCAGCAGATTGTCCTGCAGAGCTTGGGTTAGAAAGGACATCATCTGCTCTTTTCAGAGAAAAGGAAGAGAGACCCTACGATGTGAAGAAACCTGAAATACCCGTGGCCATCTCGAGCACGGGATCACTTCATTGATCTAGTGATTTCAAACCATTTTTTATTCCCTAGTGAATTATTTCTGGTGTCTACCAGAGAGAACAAATGTATGCGACTGTATTCTGATAAAAATTTATTTTTAAGAACAGATTTCAGGCTGTACTTGGGTGGCCTCTGTATTAGGCTGCAGATGTCCTCATAGAGATGTAATGAACATGTGATTTAAAAACTGAGACCGGAGTGGGCGGGGCAAAGGGAAGGTTCCTTACCACACCCGGAATCAAGGAGTCCAAGTGGAATATGAAAAGACTTGATTACAAAACCAGCCTCTTGTTTCGGACGTTGACACAGATGCGTCAGGAGAGTGAAGGCATCAATATTTACTAAGATACTTTTCTATGACTTTTACAGTCTGTAAAATGCGGATTTGTTTATTGAATGCAGTTTGTTTCCTTGCACTAAAGAAAATTACTCAGAAAGAAAAGAATTTAAGGGCCATTAATGAAAGTGGAAAGGGGTGGGCAGGAGTGGGGGAGATGTCATTCCCCTTTGCAGTTCCCTCAGGAGAAAAGAAACCCACTGGAGGAAGAAGAAAAAAAAAAAAGTGACTGCAGATATGAAAAGGAGACCAAAGCAGGGTCAATCCCAGGGACAGGGGACAAAATAAAGAAGTGGGCCCGGGAAAGAGAGAACAGAGCTGCCTGCAGGTGAGCTCAGCAAGGGTTGCCATGTGGGCACAGCTTCTGCCAGTGTAAATGTTAGCTATGGAAACATAGAAGGAGTACTTTGGTGCTCCTGCTGGTTGTCAAGCCAGGATGGATATAAGTTGCTCAAAAACAAAGTGTGAACTCTGAAATTAGCAAGCCTGTGCCTGTATGTCTGTGTGTGTGTGGGGGGCGGGAGGCAGAGAGAGAGAGAGCGAGTGTGCATGAGTGTGTGAGCAAGAGAAGGTGAGCACTAGAGTGAGAGCAAGGAGGGAGAGGAAGAGAGGCAGGAGGGAAGGCGAGGG